TAAAATATGTGGGGTTTCATTTACAATAAACTGTGCAAGGTAACACCAACCTGCCAGACATCTATGTTTTCTTATTTTGTTAACATTGATTTGCAATTTACTGTATGTTTTGTCATTATTTTGAGGAGACTTGGCTGCTTTGTTTGATTTAGGAGGGTGGTGACTTACCTGTGCAGTTTGGAGATACAATTTGAGCACTATTCTTTGGTCCATTGCACCAGTTTTATGCTGTGATTTTATTAAAGACTCCATTATTATAGAGTGTTAAAAAGACAAGTTGAATATATTTGAAACTGTCATGCCAAATAAAATGTGAGAACAGAGAGCTTTTTTGTTCTTGGAGCAGGGAGGCCTGCCATTTTTGTGTAATGAAACAATTTGGAAATATTCATAAGAAGGTCTCCATAGTGGAAACAGACTTTGAACTCCTGCTCCATAGACTAGAGGCTGATGATAAATCATGGTAAACCATGGAAATTGCCTGATTTCTGTGGGGCATTGGGGGAGGAGCAAAAGAACCTAGAGCTGCACATCTTCTAGGGCAGATGATAACCTCCTAATAAGGTTATGCACCCCCTTCCCTTGTCATGGAGCTGAGAACAGTAGTCTATTTCTTGTAAATGAGGTCTCCTACAATGGAAACTGCTGGCTGAGAGTCGGAATTAAGAACAGAGGAGGAAACACAAAAGAGTGAAGCCTGTTTAATTGGGATGAAGGATACTCCCCTCCCTAAATCCTCCAATCCCAGTTTAGCAAAGCATAGGGGTTGTTAGCACTGAAAGGTCTGACTTGCAGAGTTGGGTAAATGCAATGCTTGGCAGATGAAGTCATGCATAATTAATTGTTCTTTGTTGCATTCTTTCCAATGTAATGACTTGTAGCATTCATGCTTATAATAATTGATGTTTTCTGTGTGCAGGAGCTTCAGGACAGCCAATTAAGGCAGTGGAGGTGGTAGCTGTGCAGCATGTCTAGCATCTGTCTGCTACCAACATGTGGGCTATAACTTTTTGCTTTGCTTTACTTGTTTCTAGTGCCTAAGACAGTACCTGCAGCTGGCAATTCAAGAAGGCTGTGGTTCTCCCATCACGTGTCCAGACATGGTATGCTTGAAGAATGGGACCCTACAAGAAGCAGAGGTATCAACACTTTTTCCTTTCTCTCTTTTTTTTTTTTCTTTTTTAAACATAACCCCCCCAAACTCCTTTATCTACATAATAAGTATGATCAAACACTTTTTCTTCCCTTTGATTACTTTTAATGAGCTTTTGACAAGAAGCCTGACTGGCAAGAGGAACTAGAAACAGATATTTTTCAAGAGTTTTGCTTCTTTTCCCCTCCCTCTGTGCCTTAAGGAAAGGCTTACTTGGCATCTAGACAACCTCAGAATTACCTGTGCAGGTGACTTAACCAACATACCCTGTATCCCAGAATTGCTGAGTCTCCTGTCAGTTAAATCCTATTAGTACTGTCAGTTAAATCAGATTTGACTTGACTGCAAACACTGAAATTCTTGCATCTCTCTGAAATCAAGAGCAAGAACTCTTAACTGATTATATGCAAGGCCCAAATTTCTTTGTGCATGTTTAAATTGGGCTGCAACAACCAATTTGCAGCCCAATATAAACATGCAAGATTCTGAATGTTATTTGGAAAGGAAGGTATCTGCAAGGCCATGGTGGAAGTAGGTCTTTAAGAGATATGAGAAGTGTCTTCTTTCCCAAGGCAGAGATGGGAGAGGTTGAGAGCTCAGAAGCTAAATGAGGTTTAGGCAAAGCTGTTTGCATGTCTGGCATGTGCACAATCTCCCAGAGTAACTGGAAGGTTCAGTTTGAAAGTTGGAGGTGGAGAAACTGGAGGGAAAATGTGCTGCTCAGATTTTCTTGCACTGCTTGGGACAATGGGGCTCAAGGGGGCTGTAGATGGCCCCTACCAGGCTGCCTGGTGGTCTCCCAGCAATCCTGAAGCAGCCTCCAGACTTAAGGCTGTTGTAAACCCCCCAAACTCCTTTATCTACATAATAAGTATGATCAAACACTTTTTCTTCCCTTTGATTACTTTTAATGAGCTTTTGACAGCCTGACTGGCAAGAGGAACTAGAAACAGATATTTTTCAAGAGTTTTGCTTCTTTTCCCCTCCCTCTGTGCCTTAAGGAAAGGCTTACTTGGCATCTAGACAACCTCAGAATTACCTGTGCAGGTGACTTAACCAACATACCCTGTATCCCAGAATTGCTGAGTCTCCTGTCAGTTAAATCCTATTAGTACTGTCAGTTAAATCAGATTTGACTTGACTGCAAACACTGAAATTCTTGCATCTCTCTGAAATCAAGAGCAAGAACTCTTAACTGATTATATGCAAGGCCCAAATTTCTTTGTGCATGTTTAAATTGGGCTGCAACAACCAATTTGCAGCCAAATATAAACATGCAAGATTCTGAATGTTATTTGGAAAGGAAGGTATCTGCAAGGCCATGGTGGAAGTAGGTCTTTAAGAGATATGAGAAGTGTCTTCTTTCCCAAGGCAGAGATGGGAGAGGTTGAGAGCTCAGAAGCTAAATGAGGTTTAGGCAAAGCTGTTTGCATGTCTGGCATGTGCACAATCTCCCAGAGTAACTGGAAGGTTCAGTTTGAAAGTTGGAGGTGGAGAAACTGGAGGGAAAATGTGCTGCTCAGATTTTCTTGCACTGCTTGGGACAATGGGGCTCAAGGGGGCTGTAGATGGCCCCTACCAGGCTGCCTGGTGGTCTCCCAGCAATCCTGAAGCAGCCTCCAGACTTAAGGCTGTTGTAAAGTCTCTGAATGTGGCTCATTGCCAAACCCATGACATGAGGAGGAGTTGTTGGCAGCGTGGCTGGAACCCTCAGACATGCCAGCTGTTCCATACATCTAGAAGGCCGTGGAAAACTGCAGGTAAATCTGATGTTGCCCTGCAGCGATTCCTGCTTGCTTGCTCTGTGAACCAAGTAGAGCCCTGCTGGGTCTGGGAACACAAGCAGGGAAAAAAATCCAATAAACCAGGAAAGAAAGGTGGCTAAGGGATTTTGCCTGGTTTTAGGCAGTTTGTCTGCATTTGTTTGCAGGGACAGAATTGAGGAGAATCAGATCTCTGTCCCTGAACTGAAGAGAAGCACCTTCTCTTCTGGGTTCTCTTGAGCCCTTTATATACAGATGACACAGCTGTGGTGGAAGTATATAATCCTATTCAAATGCAACTAGTGGCAATGCAACTCCCACTATAAAAAACACCTTTTTCTGCAGAAAAATTCAAGATCTCTCCAGCATGCGTTTGAAATGCTGTGCTTAGCTGAATCAGGGCCTGGGATTCACAGCTGTTTGTTATGGCATGCAGGCATATGGTGGAGCTTTTCTTTGGCTGAATCCAGCTATTGTGGAAAGCAGCCAGATGTTTTCCTTCCTCCTTTCTTCTGCGTAGATGCAGAGGGAGCGTAGCAATGTGCCTCTCACCCATCACACCAGATTGGGAGCAATTAGCCTTTACTGAAAATGCGTTTTAAAAATAAAATTAACAAATGGTCAGAAGAATTCTGCCCTGTTAAGCTAGGGTTATGATGCTATAGGAATTATAGAGATGTATTTCCCCTTAGTAAAGCAAGAGGACATTCCAGCATATGTATTAATGGACCATTAGCTTAGTCCTTGGGTGCTTTTTGGGCTGAAGGCAGAATGACTGAACAGCTCAAATGTGCATTAGTGTCCCAAGGATGAACGAATGTTCTGACACTCCCTTTTGGTGGTGTGCTTGAAACATAGACTGTCAGCTTGAAAAGCAAAGAGCCCCCCAACCTGCTTAAAATGAACTGCTTGTGTATTTTACCCAATACCTTCTTCTTTAAGGAAGAAACCCCCAAAAAAACCCAGAAACAAGAGAAAGAACAGGCTCCATTAATAATATGAAAGGTTAGTATGTAAACTACAGATTATGTATGAGCATTCTGTATTGTTTTTTCTTCTCTATAAAAGATGTTACTTGTGAAAATGTGGCCTTTAAAAGCTATTATTTAAAAAACAGTACCTTATTCAGATGGTGTTATATATTCTGGGACCGGTGTTGTTCAACATCTTCATCAATGACCTGGATGAGGGTATAGAATGTACCCTCAGCAAGTTTGCTGATGATACTAAGCTGGGAGGAGTGGCTGACACACCAGAAGGCTGTGCTGCCATTCAGAGAGACTTAGACAGGCTGGAGAGTTGGGTGGGGAGAAACCTGATGAAGTTCAACAAAGGGAAGTGTAGAGTTTTGCATTTGGGGAAGAGAAACACCATGTACCAGTACAGGTTGGGGGCTGACCTGCTGGAGAGTAGTGTAGGTGAAAGGGACCTGGGGGTCCTGGTAGACAGGAGGATGACCATGAGCCAGCAATGTGCCCTTGTGGCCAAGAAGGCCGATGGCATCCTGGGGTGCATTAGAAAGGGTGTGGTTAGTAGGTCAAGAGAGGTTCTCCTCCCCCTCTATTCTGCCTTGGTGAGGCTGCATCTGGAGTATTGTGTCCAGTTCTGGGCCCCTCAGTTCAAGAAGGACAGGGAACTGCTTGAAAGAGTCCAGCACAGAGCCACAAAGATGATGAAGGGAGTGGAACATCTCCCTTATGAGGAAAGGCTGAGGGAGCTGGGTCTCTTCAGCTTGGAGGAAAGGAGACTGAGGGGTGACCTCATCAATGTTTACAAATATGTAAGGGGTGAGTGTCAGGGGGACGGAGTTAGGCTTTTCTCAGTGATGACCAGTGATAGGACAAGGGGTAATGGGTGTAAATTGGAGCATAGGAGGTTCAAGGTGAATATCCGAAAAAAAATTTTTACTGTGAGAGTGACAGAGCACTGGAACAGACTGCCCAGGGAGGTTGTGGAGTCTCCTTCACTGGAGACATTCAAAATCCACCTGGACAAGTTCCTGTGTGATGTACTCTGGGTGATCCTGCTCTGGCAGGGGGGGTTGGACTAGATGATCTTTCGAGGTCCCTTCCAACCCCTAGGATTCTGTGATTCTATGGTAGAGAATGTGTTTAAATGTGGTTACTCTTTGTAATGGAAGTACTGTTTAGAATTACAGTTTATTCCTTACACACTCTGAAACTGCTGGTGTAAAAGGATGAGCCCTTTCACCTCTGGTGAGTCAGGGTTTGGTCTTTGGCTTCTGGCAGCAAAAGTTTCCTCACCAGTACAGTGCCATGAGGAATGACATGTTGTCTGTACTGGGAGGAAAAAGAAAAAAAAAAAGGTCTTTTTTTCTCCCCTGTGTTAGTGTCAGAGTTTTGAAAAAGTGTATTCTTCATGTCATGTCCATTTTAGACTCTGCTGTAACTGACTTTTATCAGTTACCATTACAGTTTGGAAAAAAACTAACACCAAACAGTTGGAATTGTCTTTGTCATGGATCTGGTGTTAATTTGTTTCCTATACTTTGGGCTAAATTTTGTCTAATTATGTAGATAACATGGTTGTTTTGTTTGCTTTTTAAATGCCTTTTGCCCTAGCCTGCACAAGGGAGATAAGGTGAACTTAGGCATAATTTGAAGGAGAGTCATTCTATTGACTTCAGTGCATTTTGCATTGAGCTCTCTTCAATAAGGAAACTGAACAATTAATAACAAAGCTTATAAGCAATTTATAACACGTTATAGCGATGAAAGTTCCTCAGCTTGCCTCTCTCAAGGTCTTTATCAAGGTGTGTGACATTTCTTCTGTGCTTCCTAGTGACCTGTTTGTCTTCATTGTGAATTAAGTCCAGTTTATCTTCTTGATAAAATTCTTGAGAGTTTACCTTGTGCTAAATTATGAGAGCCTTTTCACAGCTCTTGCCTTCATTCTGAGACACGTGCTTCTTGTGCTGCTTTTAGGGGGTGGCAGGGGGGCAAAAACTCTGGTTAACAGTTTAAACAGGGAATAGAATTTCTTCTGCTATGTCTCGTGAATAAATGAACATGAGTAAATAGTAGGAATATGTCTCTAAACTGGTGAATATTTCATCAGTATTAGAGGAGTACACTGCGTATTCATAGCACGTGGGAGAAGCTGGGAGTTAAACCTTTACTTTTGGTGAGCGAGAACATTTAGATCACAGAAGAAAATGTTCCAGGTTTTTATTCTTAACTTAAAATGACAAGTCATTTGAACAAGAAAATTGTACTTTTCAGTACTTTCAAGATAAGTTTCCTGAGGCCCTTGTGTTTGGTTGTTTTTTTATTTTTACTTTAACAAAATCTAGCTGAAACTGGTATGTTCCCCAGCAGTTTTTTTTTGTTTTGGAAATAGTACATTCAAACAGAAGGAGTTGTTCCACTGGCATGCTTGAAATCAAGTGCAATCCTAGGTCATATCTTGAGCTGTAACATAAAGATAGCAGCTGCTTGTAGCTGGTTTTATGTAGAAATATATGGGTATTTGTGGTGGGAAGGGAATGGTTTTGGCTACAGACTCTTGTTTCAAATAGCTGGTTACATAAAAAAAGGGAAAGTTTAAAAGCAATCTTGTTAAACAAGATGTTTGTCCTTTCAAGTTCTATTAGTACAATAAACAAAGATTATTTGGATTCCTTCCTGGAAGCAAAAGGTAGAAGGAACATCTTATGTTAATGAAGTTCTCTTGCAGACTTCTGAAGTCTGCAGACTTCATGCAGACTTCTTCTGTCTAGAATATTCCTGTCTCTCTTGGGAATTTGTTTTATTGAGTTAATTGGACCAGTTAATACCCCTAATCTAAACAAGGGGTAGTTTATCATGGTTTGAAATGCTTTTACTTGGTGCAAATCCAGGCACCAATGCAAGCTGTAAATCAGGGAAAGTCTCAAGTGCATACAGGGATTTCTAAAGCAGCACTCACTTGGATAATGTCTAGGGGATTGTGCTTTGTTCTTTCTGACTCTTGTGTTGTTTTGAAGCTTGTTAAGTTGATGACAATGATCTATTTATACATAATCTGATTTGGATTAAAAAACTGTGCAGCAGGTGGTAAAGGAGATTCTGATTTGGGCTTTCCTTTTGCCTCTTAAGCCTGACAAGGAGAATGAACCCTTGGCAGGCATTGCAGGTTCTGCTTATTAACCCTCTGTGTAAATCCATGATCTACACTAGTACTAACCTGACAGAGGGCTGCCAGCACTTTGTAAAGCCATGATGAAATGGGACGGTGACCCAGATCTTAGAATCCTTAGTTGCATTATATTCCATACATAGCTGAACAAAAATTCCATTGGGAATCAGTTTAAAATACCAGTTTTATTTTTAATGTGTAAATTGGTGTACATTTTGCTAGGGGTGATTGAAATGGTAAAATGAGGAGGAAGGTGAGAAAATGCTGCAGGCCGACCTAACTTTTTCAGGGTCAAAATTAAAGTTTTTGTTCATATTTACTCATTTTAAATAAATCCAAGGGGAGGAAATGAGGGAATATGAATTTTTGGTTTTGTTTGTCACTAAATAAGAGGTCCTTAATGGAGAAAATGAATAATTTAGTGTTTCATGGTGACACTAGTGAGCATGGTAGCTGATGAAGAAAGGAGTGGGTGTGCTTTCTAACAATGAAGCGATTGAACTCTCAACAGCAAACCACAGCCTAAGTTAAAACTATTTTGCACGTCCTGCAAAACTGGACAGTGCCTCTCAGTGGGACTTTTGCAGAGGTGGTCAGTGCAACCCCCTGCAAGCAGTTGTTGCTGCTGCCAGGGCAGGATCTGCCCTTGTTGCCTATCTGCTCAAGCAGCACGGGGAGCAGCACTTGTCCTGGTGAACTTTCCTCCCTTGACATTGTCGAGGTTTGATTCATACGGGTGTGAAAGGAAGTCAGATCTGTTTAGTTTTCTTGATTGCCTCCTTGCATCTTGCTTGTAAGTCTGAGAATAGGTGGAGTAGTGATTTTCACTTTCCACTGTGGCAGCCAGTGTTTGAAAACAGGGCAGTTGTTGTTCCTTGGCTCCTGGCTATTGCACTGCCCATGTTATGAGGGACAGTCTGCCCCTGTGTAAACTGCACCCAATTATTTTATACCCTTTCATTTTCCTTCCTTTGCTCTTTTGTCTTGCCCAGTAATAACACCCCCAGTTATTGTACCACCCTGGAGAGTCTTTTTGGACACTTAGCAAGAGTCCAGCTGGAGCATTTTGTGGTGGTGAGCCTTAAAAATACTGCTTTTTTTCCATGGATCTTTTTACTTCAGGTGAAAGCTGTTGTTTTTAGTGAGAGTTCTTACTTGTTCTTGTGCTCTATGACAAGAGAGCTTTAACTGCAGACATAGCTTACAAGCTAGAGAAGACTAGAAAACTTATTTCACCTGCCAACAATCTGGTAAGTCCCAAGTCAATGTGTTTTCTTTCAGGAGAGGGAAGTTCTTGCCTCTTATTTTATTAATAGATTTTTATTGTAACCTTAAACCAGTATTAAAAAAACCCACAACCAACCCCAAACCCTGTTCTTCTTGCTGCACTAGAAAACTTTCATAGCCTAGAATAAGAAACATCTGCTTTCTGGTGTGCTCATGGTCTTTCTCATTGGCCTTTTGCCACCTGCCATGTTGCTGGTTTGCTTCCTCCTCAGATCTCCAGCCTCTGCCCAGCCCAGGAGCCTGTGTGGTTGTGCAAGGGAGGAGGTGCTTGGGATAGACCCCTGGGTGGGGCTGGAGAAGGTGTATGAAGATGATGCCAAATAGGAGGAGATAAACACCTAATCTCGTTACTGTGCTTATGGCTGTTCTTGATTAAGCATAAATGAGGTTAAAAGTTCACTGAGGAGAGGTTTTGCTGGGTTTTTTTGGGGACTCACGTTTCATTTTTTTCAATTGAGTTTGTACGTGTGGCTTTGATGCAGCGCTGAGTTCAGGCAGCAGTGGATTGTGCTTTCCTTTCCTCATGCCTAAAGTCTGTGAGGGGCTTCAGCTCAGCACCTCTCAGCTCGACATCCCTGTGGGTGCTATCAGGAAATGGCCTCTCAAAGCCTGGGGGAGTCAGTGGCAGAGGAGATGGGCTGCATGTGTTGGTGCCAGGAGCTCTGTGAAGGGCGGGGGGAGCTGGGTTCTGATGAGGCTGTGTGGGAAGAGGAGTGGGGCTGGGTGGAACCTGTGGGGAAGGCTGGCATGGTAAGATCAGACTTTCAATAGGAGAAAGGGAAGCTTTCAGCACTGACTCTGCTTACTGTTGAAATCTACAATAAAACTTCTCGTTCCATTCCAACTGTAATGAAAAAGACTGATTTTTAAGACATGGGAAATTCTGGGCTCAGTTCTCTGCTCTTGAAAAACTGTTTGTTAAACGCAAGAGCAAGCACAGGAAGACCCTGAACAAACGATTCACTCAGGTGGCTCTTCATAGCATTGAGACTCACCATTTTAATTATAATGTTATAATGAAGGAAAATTTAAACTAGTTGCTGGTTGCCCAGCTAGAGAAAAGCAGATGACTCTTTCTGTTTTTCAAACTCTTATTTAGATTCGAAGCAGCCCTGGGGAGGAGTGGACAATACTGAAACGTGTCTTGTGGGTTTCACATAAATTTGTTGGTTGGCTTCATTCTTTGCTGAAGTTGCTGAACTCCCTTTTCCTTGTTGAAGTTCACATTTGTTTTTCGAGAGTGTTTCAGCTGACCGGTGAAGAGTTTCGCAGGAAACTCTTTGTGTCTTACAGTTATATTAACATATTCTTGTTGTGCTTCATACTTTCAATACTTCTATATTAAAAACAGTTACACCCTGAATTCAAAACCTGAATAAGGACACTGCTTTGACCCCAGGATCGACTTACTAGACTAAGAATATATTTTGTAACTATTTGTTGGTGTTCCCTTTGATTTCTTCAACTTTAAGTCTTTCAATCATCTTTGAACACTCAAATCTTGACATTGGTTGGATTAGTTTTTGTATTATACTGGTTTAGGTCAAATAAACGATCCAAACCTCTGCTTAAAAATGCAATTTTAATTCCAATTGATTTGAGAACTTGAAGCAATTTCATATTTTATAACATACAAATGGATATATATTTTCTCTTTTTTTTCATCTGCGAAAGCAAATGTATTCACAGCATGATACTGAGCATATACTGAATATTTTGTCTTCTCACATGACACTTGCTGTGTCACACAACCCAGAAGGATAACAAGGGTCAGTGCCCACTTCAATGAGGGCAGAATTTTGCCTTCTGCAGTAATTTGAAGGACTGTGGTAGGATACTGAATGTGAGTGTTGAGAACCTTTCTTCTTGAAGCTGTCAGTTCTACACTGTCTCACAGTGCCTCAAATTGTCAGGTCCTGTATTAGTATTAGGCTAGGTTTATTGTCAGTAAAAGAGGAGAAACATTTTTAGTGCTGATACAATATTACAAATGGATCAAATAAAGAGAATAATCTCAGATCTTGAGTCCAACAAACATGTGGCTCCTGAACCAGGAAGTTTCTTTTGAACCCCTCTTTACCCTGTGCAGGTTTGCTTATTAGTTTTAAGTAGGGTACTTGTTTTTCCTTCCATGGGCTGGTAAATGGAGATTAAGAGCATTTAGCCTTTTAGGCTGGGAGGTTAATTATGGAAACATGTAAAATGTATCAGCAAAGCCTGTTTGTCTATGCCAACTAAATGTGTTAACTTCAGTCCAGTTCCCAGTGGGCTAGTATGTGTCTTAAGGCAAATTCCACCAGCAGTGACATTAGCTGTCTTAGCCAAAACCCCATGAAATTAATAAAAAATGGAAACCAGGCTATCTTTTAAGTTCCTTAGACCTAACTGACCCTTGCCATTAAGACTGGGAGATGCAAATGAGGAGCTGTTTGGGCTGTGTTCTTGTGCATGAACAACAGGCTGCAGTCTCCAAGCTGTCAAGCTGTCACCCTTCGTTACATTGAAACAACATGAAATAAAACTGAGAAGCCTGAAGTAAAGGCAGAGTCCACAAAGAAGGGTTTCCTCTCTGTTGTAAGAAAGATATGAGCTGAACTACTGAGCTGTGTGGCTGAAAAAGGAGAGGTCGGGAACTACTTTATATTTTGGAGAAGGAAGTCAAGGTAGGGAGGAATGTGGTTGAGAGCCAGCTCAGGAGAGCAAATGTGTAGAACAGGGTGTTTAGTATTTTTTCCCAAGTCTCTGTGTTTCTAATGCTTTTTTCTGTGTGTTTCTCATTTCAGATTGCCTGTTTGGTGTCTGTTGACCAGTTTCAGTTATACAAGAGGCTGAAATTTGAACGAGGTGTGAACCTTTCAGTTTCTATTACCTTAATTTTTAAAGTGTCAGTGGAAGTAGCAGTGTTACATGCTGCAAAGACAGAGCCTGTTGGGTGAGCTAAGGAAGAGATGGAGAGGATGTGTTTGTTTTGAAATACTGTAAGAGCAATCACTAGGTCCGACTGTGCTCCACAGATAAATTTGGAATGATTTCTGTGCAACAGAGTGGCATCTTACTGAAATACCACACAGTTACTCAAGCCTGTGGGCAACATGCTCCTGTTGTGGGCCTGAGGCTTCTTTGCCCTTCCCAAGGGTCTTGAGGTGTTGGTTATACTGGTAGAATTAGACAGAGTGCTGGAGGCTGATGCAGGTCCTTTCGTATATCCATAGAAATCTTCAAAACTTCTGGGTGAGGCAGACCCTACAGTCACAGGGATTGTTGCAGACATCCCTGCAAGAGAGCTTTGCTTATGCAGAAGCCTCATGTGTGTTCATCTAGTATATTTTATTTTCTCTTGAGGGATAATTTAACCTCTCATTAACCAAAGAACCCACTCTGTGGTAGCTTGCAGGGTAGTGTTATCTGGGACTGATCGGCCCTATAAAGGATTTTAAGTCTCATCTGGCATAAGTCACAGTGAATGACCACAGAGTGCAAAAACTGCAGAATGAGAATACCCAGGAAT